GAAGGGAGTATGTAGACAAATCATATATAACCGCCATAACTCACATTTAGTAGTTTATCGTATTATGGTATTTATGATGGACATTATAGAAGAGATTTGTTTATGCGCAACTAATGTTCCTATATTAAATATTAATATTATATGATTATTGGGCCAAGTGGGAGAATGTAAGTTATTTTTCCTACATGTATGTGGCCCAATAGGTTAAGGCCCATAATTAATATTTAATTAATTATCAAATCTCATCCGTCCGATTGGTTACTTGATGGACGTACCAGATTAAGTAAGAACCTCTATAAATTGGTCCTCTCCCCACCCATTAGGGTTACCGTACTTTATTTTCTTTCTTCCATCACTAAAGGCGGCGGTAATGAAAGCTAGGGCAAGGAGCGAGAAACCAATTTACCGATTAACGCTTCCGCTTCAAGATAATGGATTCCGCTTCAGGTATGTTTTCTATGACGATTGCATGTAAGATTATCATGTTCAAGATCCTGGTAAAATAGATAATTTATGCTTACAGCGGATGCAGCGTAGGAGTGTCGGGTTCAATTGAACTCAGTACTTTTGACGCGGAACATAAATTTATGTGTAAAAATCCATCAAAACTATAAAAACTAGTGGATATGAAGCCATACCTTTTAAAATACAACGAGTTCAATGCTAAGAATATTGGAGGTTGAACTCGTAGAGTTCAAATTCTAGATTTGCCTCTGGCATCTATATATGATATATGATTCAAAGAAAACAAGATAAGCGATAAAAATAGATGGAAAATACTGTTTCAGGCCCCTCTTTGAGTATTAGATTTTCCAAATTATTTGCCAACCTTGTCGAGTACTCCTCTTCTGTCTCACCTGATATAAATATTTTAGCACATAGTTATTTACACCATGGAAAATCAGTGTACAATAAGAACTAAAGGACAAACAAATACTTTATCTCCGCTCTATTTTATACGACCCTTTCTTTTTCTTTTAAGATATAGTATGTTTGAAAAAAAACGACACTTTTTTGTATTTGGAAACTTTTCAAATTTGAACTTTTTCCTTTAACCTTAATAACATGTTCTTATTGCTATAGAAATGTCATGATATGATATAATTTAAGACCACAAATTCTAAGAATACTTCTGATATACACACTAAGACTCTTTCTTTTTTCATTAAATTCTGTGCTTAATCAAACACCTCACGAAGCAGAGTAAATAATTGATTAGCATGAATGGATAAGAATATTACCCAGAGAGACCGGCGGCAATGAAAGTGGATCCATGGTATCTGTTTAAAGGTGACATGCATGAAAAATATCATGTAAGGCAAAAGAAAAACAACAGAATATAAACAAGAGGAAAAAAATATCACATAAAGTAGAACAGATGAAGTACTTTATTCATCTCTACCAATTGTCAACATCAAACACAAAAGAAAAAAAAAATGAACATAAAAATATTAAATTATCCTATCAGAATTCGCAGAAAGATACAGATATTCTTAATTACTATTTTTAGCAGGCTTTTGGAAAGGAAATATGAGCAGCAGCTAGAACTTTAAAAAATATGTCTGAAGGCAGGCAATAAGCAAAACCTGAGTGTCATTGGATTCTGATCCGCTATTTGTGAAAAAAACTTTCGCCATTTTATTTGCAGTAAACATATTCCTATATGTTTGAAAAATAAAATCAGCCAGTGATCTAATAAAGCAAAACTTAATAGCTAAATTTGGCTCGGCTGAGAGTTTGCCATACCAAAGAAGGTTTTGTTGTACGATTCGAAAATGAATGGTAAAATGGCAATGTGTTGAGCTGTTTAATTGCAGCTTCAATCAGACGAGGCTCATTTCCCCTACAATAATGTGTAAGTTGTTAAAGTTCCATTGTTATTAAGAACCAATTAAAAGGCAGCCCGGTGCACTAAGCTCCCGCTATGTGCGAGGTCCGGGGAAGGGACGGACCACAAGTGTCTATTGTACGCAGCCTTACCCTGCATTTTTGCAAGAGGCTGTTTCCACGGCTCGAACTCGTGACCTCCTGGTCACATGGCAGCAAATTCACCAGTTACGCCAAGGTTTTTGGTTATCAAGAACCAAATAAATTCTACAAAAAAGGGTCAGAACTGCCCCTGAAGTATCAGAATTGGTACAAAAATTCCCTCCGTCCACCTATTTGAATAAAAATATCCCTATCGTTATTTTTTTGGCTCAACATTACCTTATTACTAATAGAAAATTCTGGAAAGAAAATTTAATTAATTTCCACGCGTCACCGTCCAACTTAAACGGTAAGCCAAATTATAATTAAACGCAACTGTAACCCACCCGGATATTAACCTACCCCAATTTTAAAACATGTCTTTCCCTCTCTCACAACCTCTACCTCTTCGCCATTTCGTTTTAATGAGCAATTCTTTATGAGTGTATGTCTATAATTATTCACGAAGCAAACCCAAAATAGAGTTCTCTATTAGAATAATTTTCATGGAAGATAGAAGGAAGTGTCATATTCTTTCTTTATGCAAAAAGTTTAGATTCTTTTTGTTTTATTCTTAATTTTATTGTAGTTTTTTTATTTGAAATTTTTGGTGGTTTGCTTCATTATTTTTTGTCATTTCTCTATGAAAATTTGAGGATTTTTTTCAATTTCTTTACGGTTTATGTAATGTGTATTTTTGTATTTTTAATTTATTTCGTTATTTGTTCGATTAATATGTAATCTTTTCTGCTCTGTGTAACGGGTATTGTGCAATTATCACATTTCATACACACTGAGTTCATATACTAATAATATTTGGCAATTTTTTAGATAATTTCTCCACTAGTATTTATTTTCTTCTTTTGAATTATTTTTGTTATTATGAATTTAATTTTTTTATTAGATTACCGTGCTAAGTCTAGTAAAAAAAAAGAATTTTCTATCCATAATTTGCAAGTGAGAAAGGTTGTTGTATTCGTTGCTATTTCCTGCGGATCCACCGGTGCCCAATTAGGAACGAGGAGAGAGAGAGAGAGAGAGAGAGAGTTGTGTTTTAAAATCGGAGCGGGTAAATATTTGGACGGGTTACATGTGAGTTTAATTATATTTTGGTTGAAGTTCAATTTAGGCCAATATAACGGTAGCACGTAGATATTAATTAAATTTCTTTCTTTTTTCCTTCAGAATTTTTTGTTGGTAATAAGGGTAATGTTTAGCTAAAAAAATAACGGTAGGGGTATTTTTATTTAAATAGGTGGACGGAGAGCATCTTTGTACCAATTGATACTTGAGGGGCAGTTTTGGTCCTTTTCCGTAAATTATAAATTAATTTGGAAAAATGGACAAAACCCACGATTTGAAAAATATATTTTGTTGCCCAGGTGTTTGTACATCGCGATCACGGAAGAGATAATGCGATCGCGTATAAGAAACTCCACTACCCAAACAAATGTACTACGGCGATCGCGAAAGAGAAAAAGTACCAGGTGCCAAGGTTACACTTCGCGATCGCGAGATAAGGAATGTGATCGCGATGAAGGAACATCATTGCCGCAAAAAGAGAACTACACGAACGTGTAATGGGGAATGCGAACGCCAAGGCAGAAATTCCTAAGCTACGCGATCGTGCTACTATTCGTGAACGCAAAGAACAATATTGCCTACCTCTAAATTACATTACGCGAACATGAAGGCATTGACGCGAACGCGACGAAGGAAATCAGATTACAGAATCAGCAACTCTAAAGCATGAAGAAATGGTCCATAGCCCATCCGAAACACACCCGAAGTCCCCTAGGACCCTGTCGAAATATGCCAACAAATTCCATAACATAACGTGAACCTACTCGAGACCTCAAATCACATCAAACGACGTCGGAACTACGAATCGCACCACGAATCGAACTTATGAACTTCTAAATCTTCTAACTTCCAAAACTCGCGTCGAAACATGTCAAACCAACCCGGAATGACGTTAAATTTTGCATGAAAGTCCCAAATGACATAACGGAGCTAATCCAACTCTCAGAATCGTATTCCGACCCCAATATCGCCAAAGTCAACTCCCGGTCAAACCTCTAAACCTTCCAAAACTTCAACTTTCCAATTTTCGCCGAAATGCCTCAAATTATCCTACGGACCTCCAAATCCAAATCCAGACGCATGCCTAAGTCCAAAATCACTGTACGAGGCTGTTGGAATCATCAAAATGCCATTTCAGAGTCGTCTTCAAAAGTTAAATCCCGGTCAACTCTTACAGCTTAAGCTTCCACAACAAGAACTCTTCTTTCAAATTGACTCCGAATCCCGAGATAATTTTCAAAACGATCGGTCGAGACACTAAGTCATAACACATAATACGAAGTTGCTCGAGACCTTAAGCCACCGAACGGGACACTAATTCTCAAAATGACCGGACGGGTCGTTACACCCCACCTCCCTAGGACTCCCGCAAAGATAAGGTGGGTAGTTGAAAATCCGGCTATGGGTCAGGGGGTACTTATGCATTTTTCCTATTTAAAACTAAGTTAACTCTAACCTTTTTATTTTATCTTTAATGACATATTTTTACTGTAATACAAATATTATATCATATTTAAATCACAAATTTCAAAAAAAAAGTAAAATAGCACAAATTTTAAGATATATTAAAGGGAACACTACAATTATCAAAGTTTTTATTTGTTAAAATTCGTGTCGAGTCAAACTATAACATATATTGAAATGTGAAAAAAAAAATTTCGTCTTCTCTTCTTTTTGTTTTACTTTTTCCTTGTTTCCCCCTCTCGTTTCTTTCTCTTTCATCATTTCTTTTTATTTTCTTGGTAAAATTTGCTTACATGGATCAGAGCAGAAATTGTAAGAGTGAAGCAAAAGAAAAATAAAAGGAAATTCAAGTACTCAAACAATCTTAAAAACAAATTCAAGTAGCTATATGCTACTTTCTTATAAAGTTTGGGGGTTAATTTATATTCATACGTACTTAACGCAGTAATTCTTCATTTCCCGTTTAAATAAATAAGCCCATCACTCTTATGATATTCATTTCGCCTTCACCGCTCCCTTCACCTTCACCGCCACCGCCACCGCCACCGCCGTTACTTCACCGCTACCGCCGCCAATACCGACTTTGAGGTGCGTTTCATCCTTTTTCGTTTTAGTTTAATTTTTTTTTCTGTTTCTGAATTTTGAAGCATTAAATTGTTCTAGAAGTTTCTATCAGTATAGTATTGTAATTTGTAAAGCTGGAACTTTATACTTATTTATAATCATAATTTATTTAATCGGAGATTGAAATGTCTAGTGTGCCACAACTTGATTTATTGAATTAATGCAAACTGTTAGTTCCTTACCTGTTTGTTACGAGAGTTTTTACCCGAAAATGGGGTTAATTTTGTGCCCCATTTCAATATATTGGATGGAAAAAAAAATGAATTTTCTAACACTAGATGATCTTTACCCATGTGCCTAAGTCTTGGAGTATCCGGTGGAATAGTCGATGCGAGCGCAAACTGGTCCGGATACCATAATCATAAAAAAAATGAATTTTCTGGCATTGTCGCCCAAAGCATGGACTACTTCACTAAAAGCTCTAACGGCTGAGACTTCACTAAAAATGAATTTAGAAGTGCTTATATAAACCAAACCTTCCGTAAGCTAGAAAATGCACTTTGTAAACGATGAAATATTGAGAAATGAAGATGGCGATTTTTGGTAATTATATCAAATGTTGTTGCACTGATGTTTGCTGAAAAAGGCCAGATATTTATTTATACACTATGAGGGTGTTTGGCTAAGCTTATAAGCTGGTCAGACTAGCTTATAAGCACTTTTGGCTTAGAGGGTGTTTGGCTAAGCTTATAAGCCGGTCAAACTGGCTTATAAGCACTTTTTGCTTATCTACGCGTTTGGTAAAATTAAAAGTGCTTATAAGTTAAGTGCTTATAAGTCAAAAATAAGCCAAAAGCTATAAGTTGGTCTCCCCCAACTTATCAAATTTCAGCTTATAAGCACTATAAGTTTGATCAAAATATTTATTATTCTATCACTAAAATACTTATTTTTAAAACAAAACTCTTCGTATACCCAGTTCTTCAGCTGTATATTATTAATTTCAGCACTTTTATCCAAACACGTAACTACTTATTTTTTAAATCAGTTTCAGCACTTAAAAGTGCTTTTCAGCACCTAATGCTTATCAGCTACTCTAAATCAGCTAAGCCAAACGGGCTCTTATTTACGTGTTCGGTAAAGTTAAAAGTGCTTATAAGCCAAGTGCTTATAAGTCAAAAATAAGCCAAAAGCCATAAGCTGGTCACCCCCAGCTTATGAATTTTTAGCTTATTTTATCCTTAAAATATTCTTTTTTAGAACAAAACTCCTACATCGATATTCACTACCTCAAGTATTCAACCTAACCCCCACCCCACCCCACCCCACCCTCCCCCCTCCCCACCTATTCAAGCTTGCAATTCTCATTGACTATTTAAGATAAGCAAATTCTCTATTCCTTTCCATACTTATATCTATGTGATTGAGAATTAATTTTTGAACTGTATGTAATAAATGAGGACATATCAAAAAAATTTGGTGTATTGCTTTCTAAGTGTTGTGGTGATGAAAACAATGTTTGTTTCTCTTCAAATAATTTGTCCTATTTAGGTTTATTTTTTACTGAGAAACTTTTATCAATTTATTAATTGTTATAACTATCATAAAATAAATTATATTTATCATAAAAATTATCTTATCTAAGCACAATAGTATTTAAAATAAAATGACAAATAAAATATTTTGTATTTGAATCGATTTGGAATCTAAAATTTTGAAGAAATTACGCCCTTATAAGTGTAAACAGTTCTAAGGTTATTTAAGTCATTTTAACAGAAAAAGAGCTTATCAGCACTTTTTTATCAAATACTGCAGCAACTTATTATCAATTTCAACACTTGTACCCAAACATGTAACTGCTTATTTATTAAATCAGTTTCAGCACTTAAAAGTGCTTTTCAGCACCTAATGCTTATCAGCTATTTCAAATCAGCTAATCCAAACGGGCTCTATAACTGCATGTACTTATTTTTTGCATTATAATAAGATATATATGATATAACTGTATTGAGTATTGCACCCAAGGGTGACCTAATCCTCATCCTACAGGGTAATAGCGTCCATTTCCAGCTGTTGTTTTCCTCCCAATAGTAGTCAATGAAGTAGGCTAGAACTATAGGTCTCGGGTTCTGTTAAAAAATGCTATGTGATTTCTTCCCATCTATCCCGGTCATGGTGGATAGAGTTACCTAGTATCTGTTGCTGGTGGGAGGTAGCAGGTATCCCATGAAAATTAGTCGAGGTGCGTGCAAGCTGGCCCAGACACCACTGTTATTAAAAAAAACAGTACTGAGTATCTAGAGTTTATCAATTTGTGTGCTGATTGTGTTGTGATTTGGTTGGTAAGTGTAAAACTGAGTGAAGTAGAACAACATGTAATAGTTGCATTATACTGGGGTGGTGAAATAATTTATGATGCAGACACGGTTCAATATAGTTGCGGTCCTCGAGGTGTGGTTAAACTTTCGCAATCTCTATCCTATGCCTGGTTTAGTTAGACTATTGCACAGTAAAATAGAACTCAACTAGGAGTAACAAACGGGCTGGTCGGGTCGGATATGGTTCGGGTCGAAAACGGGTAATGAGAAACGGATCAATTATCCGACCCGATCCATATTTAATACGGATAAAAAACGGGTTAACCGGTAACCATATTATCCATGATTTCTTGAATATAATCACTTTTGGGAAAATTCTTAGTCTCCCTAACTTGAGGAAGCCCCAATTTGAGGCTTTACAAATGTAAAAGTTAGACCCATTGGTTATCCATTGGTTACTCATTGGTTATCCATTTTCTAAATGGATAATATGGTTCTTATCCATATTTGACCCGTTTTTAAAAAGTTCATTATCTAACCCATTTTTTAGTGGAGAATATGGGTGGTTAACTGTTTTCTTTTAACCATTTTGCCACCCCTAAACCCAACATTGAAGGACAACTTGTTGTATCAGGAAGGTTTCATATGTAGATTGGTCAGAGTGCTACTTGTACAGAAATGCCTATCGTTGACGATGAATCTTTGCAAGATTTTCTTGAGGTACCTGAGACAGTTCGATCTGTTATAAGTCTGCTTGAAATGTACATTAAAAGTGAAATGGTGGTGGTTTCAGAACCATCTTCTGATCTGACGAATAGTTTTTCGGGTATTAGGTATCATACTGAGGTGCTAACTCAAAATACACAACCACAAATTGATGTGCCACTGCCATCAAACAATTATGGTCATGGCCTTACAAATGTCATTCCTTGCTTTGGTTTTGGAGATGGTGCGGGTACTAGCAGGGCTACTGAAATGGGAGATGTTCCAACTGTATCACAAATACAAGCTCTTGTGGATAGTGATCACATGTCGATGAGTTGTCGGAGAGTATTAGTGTTAGATTATGGATGGATTACGGGAAGACAGAACTTGAGTCCAGAATGCTATTCGCAAGCAAAGAGGAGTTGAAGTGGGCTTTTTAAATTATGGATTTGCGGCACAACAAGGAGTTTAGTGTTTGGGAAGCGAAGAAAGACTGTTAAGTGTAAGCGATGGGATTCTGGATGTGAGTGGATTCTCTGAGGTAGGAGAACTTCATCAAATCTAAGGATGATTGGAAAATACATAGGAAGACACACTTATCAAATGGAGGAGCCGTTTAAGATGGTCCATGATAGGTCATTTGTCCGTCGAGTAGGAAGAAAGAGAACTACACGTATTCAAAACAAGGTGGACATGGATCGTTCAACTTATGTTAAAGCATGTGGAATTTGTAGGGAGACAGGGCATGGCAGGCGTAATTGTCAAAAGCCTTATAGCATGCATAGCACCAGTAGGCATTAGCTTTTGTTTATTATATGGCTATAAATTTTAATCTTTCTGATCTATTGCAGTTGCTATGAGTGAAATAGATTGAGTTATGATTGTTTGTATGCTTTTGATGTTGTTTAGTTTGCTGTCATCATTGTCTTTTGTTAGTTTCAATCATTTCAATGACAGTGGGTAATACTCCAACCACTGCATTGTTTAAAGTAATAAAGTACTGTATTACGTAACAGAAGTTAATATATTAAGGAATGCATTTTAAAGTCCCATTACATAATAGAAGTTAATACACTATTTAACGCATAATAAAATACGTAAAGCATTAAGATTGCTCATTAGGCATATTGTCAAGACAATCTTCATTCTTTGTTTGTACAAAGAATTAGTGATGTCAGTTCTAGGACCTAGCTTCTGCTATTTGAACTAGTTATGATTAACCTAACTTTACGTTGATGCCTTGGTGTTTCCTATTTCAATTAATTGGAGGAGCCGGTCGCTATCTTGCTCTCTAGAGGATGAAGTCAACTCTTCCGTAGCAGGGGGCATCAATCATGTACAATGATTATATAATTATATATGGAGGCGGATCTAACATATAAGTGATGACACTACCTCGAACTAGGAATATATATATGTCTATATAGCATGGAGGCAGATCTAACATATAAGTAGTGACACTACCTCGAACTGGGAGTATGTATATGTATCTCTATATAGAATAAAGAATTTTTTTATTAGTTAAGTGGTGCAATCACTGCATTTAAATCCTCACCCGCTTCTGGATTAATAGATCTTGGTTTTGTAATGTATACATTTTCTATGAGCTCATTCTTTGTTTCTCTTAATTAAAGAAAATTACCATAGTTTACTTCATTTAAAAAGATTGATATCACCATAGTTTTCTTCTGGTCTCAATAGTTGGTGTTTCTGTTCTGTTGAATAAGTAGATACTTTTCATGTAAGCTTTTAGGTTAGACCTGTTCTTATAATTCAATAATTTATCTGATGCTAATGTTTCTCAAATATGTAATACTGGAATTTTTACTCAATTGCACTTTTGGTTAAACCAATAATCCTCCACCAAGTTGGTTTTACAGTTCAATCCAGTATCCAGAAGTTTAAACTTTGTTGTGATGCGGAAGATGAATTGGCTTGGGGCACATATCGAAACTTGGCCGAAGCTTATGAATGTTCTTAGATATGTAAATACAGTGACAGCATTGGTAGAACGATTCAAGTAATGCAAAGAGAGAAATAGGAGATATTTCTCATGGTTAACTAATGAATTAATGATCAAATTACTTCTTAAAGAGTATAATGTGATATTAAAACTTTTGATGGCATACTTTTATTGAGGGAAATTCAGAGATGCCGTTTGGGTGTATGTGGATGTTCAGGGAGATTGACTCTTGAGGATTGTAAATTTCACGAACTTAGTGCTTACAGTTATAACTGTCCGTCTTTATATAGGGTTCTTTAATCCTTTTCGAGTAAATAATAAGTGTCGATCTGTATAATACTGATTGATTGACCTTGTATCACATCTTTAGCCTGTCTACAATATACGTGTATTTAATTCAATCTGAAGCCAAGTTCTTGCTGCAGGACAGCCCGTATCAGCACTACAAATAAATGAACAATTGCATTCAAGGTAGCGTCATCTTCTAATTCATTAGCCGCTGGGATATGCCAGGCATGAAGCTCCTCGCGCGTTTTAGATCTTTACGTGTCTGTAAAGATCTTCATGTAATTACAGGTCCTCTGCAATCTCGTTCGTTTCAACCTGATTTTGTTCCCAGAGATCCCAATGCGAAGCCCAAAAGATACAAATACCCTGCTGTCTATGATCCATATGGCCCTCGACCTCCACCTTCAGACAAGATTATTCAGCTGGCTGAACTAATTGCTGCTCTACCCCCTGAAGAGTGTAGACAAATTAGTCCGTTACTCCAGGAGAAACTAAGACATCCGAAGCTGAAACAAATTTCAGTCGAAGGCATGGATTTGGGTGCAATGGGAGGAACAGGTGGCGGACCTGCAAAAGCTGAGGAGAAGAAGGTAGAGAAAACAGCATTTGATGTCAAGCTGGAGAAATTCGATGCAGCTGCAAAAATCAAGGTGATCAAAGAGGTACGTGCATTCACGAGTCTAGGATTGAAGGAAGCCAAGGATTTGGTCGAAAAGGTGCCTGCTATACTTAAACAAGGAGTGACAAAAGAGGAGGCGAATGAAATAATAGAAAAGATCAAAGCTGCTGGTGGAGTTGCTGTCATGGAGTAAAAATCTCTGCTAGGTTCAGAATTTTCCCCCTTTACGTCCATTTTTATGTTAGGATAAGTGGACATAACATCTTTCAGCTATGTTACTCGGACTCTTCACCTTATCAAAAAAAAATAAAAAATTGCTCGGACTCTTCAAAAATGCCATCGGGTGCGTGACGGATCCTCCAAAAGTAGTGCATTTTTTAAGGGTCTGACACGGGTACGGCAACGTTTTGGAGAGTCCGAGCAACATAGTCTTTCTGAATCACAAATTTGATTATCGTTGTATGCTTACGTTTTCCAGGCATAAGGGTTAATTGGTACTAAGCAGAATCCTCAAGTTCTCTAAAGGTTTATAAACCCATTTCACCATGTAGTTCTTGGTTGGTTGTATTTTGATCCTTCCATTTAGTTTTAATATTATTTACTCAGAATACAGATTTGATGACATCAAAGCTGTTTGACAGTGTTGTTATGTTGTAGTTGAACTGCGGTATATTACCAAAATGAGGTATGGTGGGATGGTTGAATCCTTCCACCCTTAATCAGAGCCCAGAGGTTTCGTGTTCGAGATTTTCTCGGAAGGAGTTCTTTACCTCCTTAGTTGGCCTACGCGGCTCTACTACGCGGGCATAACCGAAGTAGATCAAGAGAAGCGACGATGCCCAGACGACAAATTTGACACAATGTCAAACAGGCCAAAGGCTCAGAATGAGACAACTCAGGGATCCAGAATGACTTCATTGACTGATCACCGAACAACATTGACTGATCACCGAACAAGAAAGACGCTTTGTAAAACCGAAAAAGAATTGCCTGTATATTCTATAATTCTAGTTTCATTTGTTCTTTTTATCTTTCTTCTCGGATTGATTGCGCAGCTTAATATAGCAGTAAGTGTACGGTGTAGACGAGAAGCATTCGTTGGTTCCCTCTTGAATCTCTAAATGGAGCTTTGAATGGTTGCTTAGAGCCTCCTAATCTTACAATTTTGCAATAACAACCACCAAATTTATATTTGTATGAGTGTATATTGCTTCTTGTTTTAAGCACATAGCTTGTGGTTTAAATATTCTTCAATTCAAAAGTCATTGCTTCTTTTAATTTTGGGTAACTTTTGTTGGCACTTGATATGTAACTTTTAAGTTGTCCAAGTATTGTCCAAGTATGACATTTGTAGACGTCCAAATTCTGTAGAACTAAAAAGGAACTAACTTTTAATATGAACATTAACTTGAGAAGAGTTGCAGTTTTGGCAGATGGATAATTATAAATTAATTGGTCCAAAAGTAACCCAAGTTAAAATACTACTAATACAGAAGTGATTTAACCCTCTACAACTAGGTGGGTAAAAATAAGACAAGTGTGGCGGAGCTAGAGATCAAGGTGCGAGTCTAGTAACTTTGGTCCAAACTCTATATTTTTCTTTAAAGATTTAATAAAGTACAAATTATTAATTTAAAACTCAATAGCTTAAAAGGGTTAAAAATCCTGAACCCATAAATTTGGCGTCGTCTCTTATTACTATTTCTTTTCCCTGAACTAAAGGTGTCAAGCTTGAGCTTGGGTAATGGAGAACCTTTGGGTAGAAATGGCTTTGCTCGATGCGAATCTATATTTAGTCGAGTCGCTAATGAAAAGAACCATAAATTGTAACATCAATAAGAAAGCAGAAACATTCAATCAACGTCATTTCTTTGTACTAGTAATTAATGGAGTCCAAAATCTAAATGTGGTCTTTTTGGACTCAAAAAATCGAAATAAGTGATGGAAAAAATTAGTGACCAAACTATATAAAACGCCTTTTTAAAATGCGCTTAAATTAACGGCCGTTTTGGACGTTAAGGTAAAGCATGTTTTAAAAAGGCGTTTTATATAAAACGCATTTTAATAAAACGCTATACATATTTTGCGGGCCCACCAATAACTCTTCTGCGCTTAACTGGCATAACAATAATTCAAATGGGTAAAACGTGTTTTAAAAGGGCGATATACCTCAACAAATTCGATCCCCCCGGATTGGGTATTGCCTTATTTAAAGGCGTTAAGGATTTTGCAAAAATCCATTCAGAAATATTCTCAACTCATGTTAAATTTTTCTTCTTGTTAAATTCTCAAGCATTTTGTCATACTGAAGAGCGAAAAGTAAGGGTTTCATTATATTGGGGGGTGAGGTTGTGGTGGCGAATAACTCAGTGAGCTATAGTTTATCTCCACAGAGTCATGTTAAGTTGCCACTTACAGTGGAGTACGATAGACTAGTATCCTTGTTGTGTAATAAAATGAGTGTGAGCAAACATCGGTGAACCTTAAAGTGACCGGAAGATATCTGTATTCTGTCACTTCGCAAGGGGTTTCTTGTTACGCTGAGTTTAACATCGAGGATAATGAAACTTTGAGTGATTTTTTGAGGTCTCCGGATGAATACCGGGAATTTATTTTGATAAAAATGTTGGAAATGTACGTGAAGGTTGAAGACGTTCGAAAAATTGAGGTTGCGCAAAGCAGGGATAACCCTCAGTCATTGGGTGGTTATTCTGGAGCAGTTTTTGCCGAACAGGTTCCGGCCTGATTTAAGCTTATCTCCACGGGCGAATGAGGAGCGAAGAAATGATTTCTCTCTTACTTTACATAATCCACAAGACGAGTGGTAAACTTCAATTTTCCTTTGTGTTGCGATGTCATTTTTGCTGTATTGAATTTGTATTAACACTCATATATTTCATAGAGGGTACCGTCCGGATATGCATTTTACAAGTTATGAATCCACGCCCAGTTGGAATATGCGTAGTTTTGGTGTGTTGGATCATAGTGGTCCATCCGGGAGTCATCACCAACAGGATAATGTCCATCATGGAATGTCAACACATTACGACTTGTAAGTGAGGTGATATAGCTATATGTAAAGTATTTATCAATTTGAGTAGCTTACTATTTTTGTCACGACCCGGATTCACACCCTCGGGAGTCGTGATGGCGCCTACTAGTACGAGCTAGGCAAGCCAGTTAATTTCACAATTTACCCTCTTTACTCATTCTATATTCATTAGCAATTTTTATAATAATAATAATAATAATAATAATAATAATAATAATAATAATAATAATAATAATAATAATAATAATAATAACATTAGACAGCGGAATTTGACATAAGCGGAAGAAAGAAGCCATAAGCTATCTGAACGCGAATTTCTAATACAACTGTTTGAACCTCGACTACCCAGAACTGGTGTCACAGTATCACAGACGGTCTAAGAATACTACAAATAAAGGTCCGAAAGAAATAAATACAACACTGTCTCTGGAAAAGCATGAAAGGAACAGGAATAGTAGATAGAAGGAGATGCCAAGGGTTGCGGACGCCTGCAGGACTGCCTCGGGTCGCCTGATGAGCAAGAATCAGCAATCCCACTGCGGTCCGAAGTCTACAACACTGGGGTCTGCACAAAAGAGTGCAGAGTGTAGTATCAGCACAAGCGACCCCATGTGCTGGTAAGTGCCTAGCCTAACCTCGGCGAAGTAGTGACGAGGCTAGGACCAGACTACCAAATAAACCTGTGAAATTTAACTATATACAGCAGAAAAGAAGTACAGAAAGAAACATTCATATACAGTCAAGTATGGGAGGGGGAAAAACATGCTGCGGGGAAACATCGAATAGTAACAGAAGAGCAACAAGTAAATATGAGGATCACCACAGTTTAATTGAAAATAGGAAGGGGGAAATCATGCTGCGGGGTACAACAAGTATCAACAGGAAACCATCAATTTAGTGTAGAGAAACCGTAACACAGTTATCAATAAAAATTAGGAAATCAAAGACAAGTGCACGGCATCACCCTTCGTGCTTTTACTCTCTCTCACCAAAACAATACACGGCATCACCCTTCGTGCTTTAACACTCTCTCACCAAAACAATACACGGCATCACCCTTCGTGCTTTACGCTCTTCCTCACCCCAAACAACAATCACAAAGAAAATAGGGTAAGGGAATCTATAACCTCGAAATAAAACCAAATAACAACAGAAAATCAGTAAATAAATGTAAAGGACAACATAACTCAATTATCAGCAAGAATCAGGAAAATCAAGGACAAGTGCACGGCACCACCCTTCGTGCTATTACTCTCGTCCTCACCATAAGAATCAATACAATAGGCACGGAATGGTACATCGTGCGGCACGGCATCACCCTTCGTGCTTTACACTCTTTCCTCACCATGAAATCAATATAATAGGCACAGAATGGTACATCGTGCGGCACG